TTTTTTTCCTTCTTTTTATTTCTCTTTTAGTAGTTTCTGTCTTGTTTCTATACTTTTAACTTCTTCTTTTTCTATTCTGTAACCTTCTTTTTCTTGACAAGAAAATCTAATTTCTCTTTCTTCCTCAAAGATTTTTCTTTCTTTTTACAAAAATACTTCGATTTCCTTGTCTATATTCATTAGTTCAACTGTGACACTCTTAGAAGTGTTTAGGTTGGTTTATTTTATTTTTCTCTCTATCTTCTTCTAGTCTTTCTAATCTTTCTAGTATTTGTTCTAAGATATTTTCAATGTATGAGGTTCCTTCTTGTGGCTGTAATTGTGGTTTTTTTTCTTTTTTTATCTTCTCCTGCTTCTAATCTTCAATTGTTAAGTTTCTTCTATAATGCTCTTTGTTTCTATCATCATTTCTATTCTTGTTATTTCTTTGTTTACTTTCTTTCCTTTGGTTATATTCATATATTTCTTCATCTATGCTTTCCCTATTATCATCTATTCTTTTATACCTTGTATTATTACTTTTCTTTTTACTTTTTCCTTTTCTTTCAACATAGTTTGACCAAAATAATAAGTGATTGTTAAATCTTATTGGCTTTGTTTGTGCCACATTCATTTTTTATTTAGTTGCAAATGTTATTGTTGCTGATCTTCTCTAATTTTCATTTCTGTTGAATGGGATATATACTGATTTTGCTCTTCTTTTTTTCAAGTATCATAATAGTAATACTTCTGATGTATCACTTATAAGTTCTAAAATTTTTGCTGTGAATTAGTTTTGTGAATTGCATTTGTTAAAGTCTTCTTCGCCTATGCTTACACTTGCCAGCCTGTATATGCTGATTGGTAAGGACTATGGTATGTTTTCTTTTTTTATGTTTTCTATCTTGACTGCAGCTAAAGCTTTAAATTTAGATCTTCTGATGCATTTAGCTTGAGTTTTTTTGAAGTTTTTACACATGTATTCTACTTCTTCTGTATTTATGTTTGCCAGTAGGTTCCATATTGTTAGGCATATGTATAGCTCTGATTCATCTTTTGCTAGGTATGCATTTTTATCATCTTCTTTTTCATTAAATTTCTTGTGTTCTTTGGGATTATTCTTGTCTTTTTTGCTGTTGTTTACTGTATGACAGCTCAGTTTCTTTCCTTGACTTTTTGATTCTTTTGAAATCAGTTTGAGCCAATCTTTTTCTTTCTTTTTGATTCTATCCATTGCTGTATCTCTACTGAATTCATAGTCGAAATCTACCTCAATCCAAATGTTTTTATTTTTGAAAACCTCTTTAATTGTTTTAATGTGATGATTATTATATAGAATTCATTGTGTGTATTTTAGTCTTTCTTCTTTATTTGCATCTGATATTGCATATATTGGTATATTTGCTTTGAATGATTTGCCCTTGTCACATATATGATTTGTTGAAGACCATTGGCTCTGTTCTATTGTGTCTACAAGTTTGGCACTTCATAATTTTCTTTTGTTATTAACCTTATACTCTTTTTATTTTTATCTACTGTTTTTTCTCTTTTTGTTTGCTACAGAAAATTTAATGCAATTGGTTCTCTATCTGATGATGTTGATATGCTAAGATCTTGTATTTGGTTGATAACTACACTTAGGTTTGTGCTGGCTTCTTCATCACTACTCATTTTATATTGTTGTCTCTTCATTTTAACATAAACTATATCCATGTTTTCCATATTTTCACCTCTTTCTATTCCTTCCATTTCTGCTTTCTTTTTTAGTATTTCTTTATTCTTCATGTTTAACAAGTAGTTAAATGATTTTGGGTTTTGATCTACTGCTAAAAGCTTACCTGCCCATTCTTCTATCATGCTTCTTGTTAATAAAAAGGTTTCTGCTCTTTTGAGTGCTTCAATTACTTGCCCATAAAGAAGTAAATCACCTATTGTGATATTTTTTGGGTTGTAAATTGCAAGATCTTTCGCTATATACTCTAAATTGCTAGGGTTATCTATTTTTTTTGATAAGATTTCATCTAGTGTTCTGCTGTCTATGTATCTTCTATTTCTATTATCAAAACCTCTTATATGTTGTATTAATTCTATGTTACCTGGAAGGCCTAGTCTGCACTATATTTCTGTTTCTATTTTAGTTTGTTGTTTTTCCATTTGCTTAGCAGTACTCATGGAAATTTTTATCTATTTTCCTAATTAGGATAATATTGTTGTTTGTGTAATATGCTGTGTTTGTTGTTGGTTTGTTGTCAGCTGATCACGTGTTCTAACTTTTTGTTTTTAGGGTCTAGGGTGGTTTTCCACTTTTCCAAAAATAATAACAAAATTTTGCAAACTTTTTAAGTCAGGTTAAACTACTTAAGAATCTTATTGAAAAATGCTATATCTATATTTTTGTATTGATAAAAAGCTTGTATTTTTATGCTAAACCTTCCTTTAATAGCTTTGTATAAGTTTATCCAATCTGCTTTGTTCTACTTCTATATGCTACTTTTGTCTATTAAAGTTTGCCAAAAATTGGTTTTCTTACTGTTGCTTGTTGCTACTTTATTTTTTTTTCTGTTTTTAAGTTGATTAGCTATATCTTTATATTTCTATCTTTTTTCTTAGTGCTCTATGTATTGCTTGCTTGTGTGTTTTAATGTTATTTTATATTTTTCCTTCTTGTGAATTTCAGTCGAAGGATCTACAGAGGAGAGTTTTGTTGCAAATTATGTTATTGTTTTAATATTTATTTACTTATTATTTATTTACTTATTTATTTATTTATTTAGTTATTATATATTTTTTTTAATTATAATATTGACTTTATTAATATAATATATATTAATATATTATATTTCAGGATATGTCAGTAGAGTGAAAATTCAACAGTATTACTTTTAGTTTTTTGTTTAATGACTAGCTAATTAGAGGAATCCTATAGGCAATTGTTTAAAGAACTAATAGATTTTGGTAAGAAGTATAATATAAATTTGAATTCGCAAGTAGTTTTAATTAATTTTAAGATGGCTGCTATAAATTTCATCCAATTAGAATTTGATGATGTTTAAGTTAAAGGTTGCCACTTTCATTTTTCACAGTATATTTATTACAAGGTTCAGGCCTATAGACTTGCCTCAAGATATAGTATGGAAAAAGATTTTAGCTTGCTAATAAGAAGTCTTTCTGCTCTTGTTTTTTTGCCTCTCTCTGAAATACCAACTGCATTTGAAGAATTGAAAACTCATATTCTAGCTGAAGCTGGGCATGTTATTTAGTAGTTTGAGAAAACTTTCATTTATAGTAAAGTTAAATACACATATAAAAATAGTAATATTAGTAGATCAGAACTATTGTTTTCTCTCACTTTTTGGTCTATGGTCGATAACATTGAACTTGTTTATCCAAGAATGCAGAACTCTGTAAAAGGTTGGCAACAAAGGTAGGATGTGTTAGTAGGTTGTGCACATGTTGGGGTTTTTAAAATTTTGAAAGAGATTCAGAAAGAACAAAATAAAGTTGAACTTGACATTAAAGCAATTTTGTAAAGTTTTTCGAGGCCTCTCCAAAGAAGGCATACTGTTGAACATAAACAGTGTATACAAACCATATTCAATAATCATAGTAATAGATCTATTATAAAGTATCTTCATGAGATTACTTACAATTTTGCTCTTTAAAAATTTTTATTCTTTATTTTTATTTTATTTTTTACTTGTTTTTTATTATATAAAAGATTTTGCATAAATAAAGTTTAAGTATTTAATGATTGTGTTGCTTATTTATAAACTGGTTATTTAAATATACAAATTTTACAATGTTATATAATAAATTACTTAACTGCTAAATAATAAATGTGATCTTGTATATATACTTTTTAATCAGTAATAATAACTTTATTTATGCAATATCTTCAAATTTATATAAACTATAAACCTTTTTATACATAAGAACTTTCCAATTATAGTCTTTAAGTAAAATATTTATAATACTTGTTTATGTTGAAAAAGTAGAAGTCAATTGTATGGATAATAAAACTAACTAAACTACTATCATTGGTAAGTAAAAAGAGATATAAAGAAGCTTGGTCTGTTTCTTAAAGGTCTTTTGAGTTTTACTGCAATGATATGGGCAGTTCAGATAAGTATAACTTGGTTTTATACTTCTATCAGTTGTTTTAAGATTTCAAAAAGAAGTAAAAAGAAATTTCTTTTCTTTGTTTCAAGTATACTGAGGCTTCAATTCTCTATTCAATTATTATGAGTTTTAATAATTATCACGTAAGCTATGAAAGTAATATATTATTGCAAAATCAATAGATTTTTAATTAAATGCCATTAATAAAATTAATAGAATTAATTCTATTAATGTTATTTATGTCTTTAAAGAAATTACAGAATTTAATTCACAACTCTAACTATACAAGGTAATGAATAATTTTACTATCTTAGGGCTTTGGTTAAAACTGATAGTAACTCTTTGAGTTATACTAACTTAAATAATATAAAAGATAATACTAAATTTTTAATTTTTTTTACTTTATTATTACATTTTGTATTTTTCTTGGAACCCTTCACAAAAGTTCTTTTGTACTATTTATATATTAATTTCAACTTTACAATTTTTTTTTCATAAAATAGTTTAATGCAGACATGCATAAATGTCACAAGATTATACAGTAACTGGCATTACTGTAATCTACTTAAATAGTATTCTATATGTTTATTAGTCTCACTCAATACCTCCTTTATGTTCCACCTCTTGGCAACAGTTAGGCATACTACTTAATACTACATATTCCTTTCTGTTACTAGTAACCAAAACTGACTTTCGATCTCTTTTATTTTTTCTTTTATATTAAATTTTCATTATATTGTTTATGTAATACTAATAATAATATACTACTACACTACTTTATACTTTTATATTACACTATAATTAACTCTTAAATTTAATTAATTTAAACATTACTGATCTTATGATCGATCATCACATGGTCCAATATACCCAACTCCCATAACACTGCCCAATACTACCACTTATTCCCAACTCTGGCCAACCACACCATCATGTAACATATTCATTCTAGCTTTAATTTCAGCACTATAACCTCTTCTGCTCATTGTATAATAAAGTCTATAGTTAACCAGTATATCTCTTATTAAGTACACAGACTTAGTAGAAACTATGCAACAATAAATGAGATAAAATTTAGAATTGCATTATTATTTTTTAAATATGTCATTATACAAGAAGAACCATTGATATTACTTGACTAATTCTTCACCCAGTATGCAACATATAAAAATAATTTTACAATACCAGTCAGATTCATTTTGCTAGTACATGTTATAATTATATTCTTATTAGTAGAATAATCTGGTATTGTAAAATAATTTTTTATATGTTGCATACTGGGTAAAATATCAGTCATGTAATATTGACAGTTTCTCCTATTCATTGTACATTATAAATTTACTTATGAATACTTTTTTATACTAATTTAGGCTCTCATTTCTATATAATCAAAATCAAGTCATTACTTATGCATTTTATTTGTACAAAATAGGTATTTTTTTTATATAGATTCTGTACTAACTATAACTTTTTATTGTATAATCCAAATCAAGTCTTTGCTTATGACTTCAGGTCAAGTTTCATAGTATTTTTTTTTTAATAGATAATATATTCTTATTTACTAATTCTTACTGAATCTAACTTTTTTTATTTTTGAATAGATAAATCTATTCTTCTTACTGATTCTGCATTAACTCTTTTTTTTATATAAGTAGCTGCACAATGTTGTTATGCAAAATCAGGAATTGAAGGTGGATTTAAATAGAGTTGCAGATGAAACTGTTTTTGTTATAAGTTTTTGTTCACTTCTATATTTAATTTTATTAATTTTATTAATTTTATTAGCATTTTTAACATTTATCAGTTTCACTTACAACTATAATTTAGATTATATATGCAGTAAGTTAAATACTAATCATGTTATCTAGATGGACTAATATTAGTATAGTTTTGATATAGCTTTCTTGTATACATATAGTCTCTTACAAATAAATTAATTTTTTTGTTGTTATTTTATTAGTGAATATATTAAATATTTGTCAATAGGTAATTAAATAAAAATTATTTATACTATATTAATTGCCTTATATTTTAGTTAGCAAATTATTTATTTAATTGATGAGTATAGAGATTAATTTTTAATCATCTTTAAATAAAAAATACATTCTTTTATATAATAAATGCTTACTAATTCTATAAAATTCAGGTTTTTTAATTTATCATCAGGTTTCTAAGTTTTTTATAAATGAGTGCATGAGAATAAAAACCTGGAATTTGATTTACTGTAATCAGTTTCCAGGTTTTTGCTCTTATGCACTCAAATTAACCATTAGAATTAAACTTAGCATAATTGATAGAAGTACTTCTTTCAATGATAATAGTATAAAAAAACAGAGAATCAAACATTTAATAACAGTAACAGGTTAGTAAAGCAACAAATGGTTTAATTTTTAAGTGTATGTTTTAAAACTAGATACCTTTGAATTATTGAACTAGGACAGCTAAAACAGATGAATTTAGTTAAACAAAATTTTATTAAATATGAAAATTTAATAAATTTATAGTCTAAATTAATTTTATGAATAGTTGAAACTTGGTATACAAATTAAGTGAAGCAGAAAATTTATATAATATAAATTATTCAAAAATCAATAACAATAACACTAATATAAGTTAAAAGCAATAATAATAAAATAGCAAAATTTAACATTATAATAGTCTAGAAAAATCCTTTGATAACAAACATCTAATTTGCTTTTTTTTAAAGTATAAATATAGAGACCTCAAGATTAAGTCATGAGATTAGATCAACTAATCAGATAAAAAAGAGACACTACTTAACTTGCTTATAAATTCAACTTTTCATATTTTATATTTTAATTCTGGTAATTAAAATCAAATCTTTGCTTGCACTATTTGTACAAATCAGATTAGACTTGCATTACTTTATTATTTTTTTTTTGATAAATAATTCTATTTTTCTTACTGACTCTAGTTTTTTTTTCTTTGACATAATCAAATCAAGTATTCACTTGCAGGTCAGGTTGCATTACTTTTTTTGAATAAATATTTTATTTTCTTTACTAATTCTACACTAACACTAACTTTTTTTTTTATATAATTCAAATCAAGTTTTCATTTGTTCACTTCATTTTGCACAAATCAGGTCTAGTTTCAGTTATTTTAAGAAAGGTTTAGGTATTCTGGTGCATCTAAGGTGTGCCACCAATTAAAATTTTATAATTTAATATTTATTTACAAAGTTTATTTAACCAACTTATTTAATATTTGGCTATCCGATTATGAAAAAAAAGATATTTTTATTATGTAAAAAAACTTGTTTATTGCAACTTTTTAATTATTATTTTATTAGGTAGGAGATTTTTGGCACACTTACAAATATAATAATATCTACATACTGCATAAACTTTATAATTGCCTGAGTTCAATGTTTAATTAATATTACAATAATAATTTACTAAATGAAGCAAATTTTTAAGAGATGCTAGGCATGCTAAATACACTTTAGTTAATTTTTAATATTTTTTTATTAATGTTGCTTAAATTTTGTAGCCAAGAGTTTTCAAAAGTTCTATTTAATACTATGTGATTCATCTTGATAAGACAAATTAAATAGTGTTAAAATTGGTCATTTTTGGTTATTGTATTATGAGATATTTTAAAAAACTTTAGTGTGCCACTTTACTCCCCATGCCAGAATACCTAACTCTTCCTTATATTTTATTTTTTTTATTTTTATTTTGATTAAATAATTCTATATTTTTTTACATAATCTGAATCAGTCACAATACAGATTATATTGCTGAATGAATTTTAAACTTATTTTATAGTTACCTGGTTATTATTTTGATTTTTAATATTAAAATTTTTTCATTATGATCTTAATTATTATAAGATTATTGGTGAATCAAATTGCTAGTTTGTAAATCAATTAAGCTTGTTGGTGAAACATATTGTTAGTAATAAATATTATCAGTGAAAAATATTCTCAGTAAAAAGTATTGTTAGTGAAAAGTATTGTTGGTAAAAAGTATTATCAGTAAAACATAATGTTGGTGAAATAAACATATTGATGAATCGATTGTTAGTATATTAAACATATCAGTAAAATAAACATGTAGGTAAATTAAATGTTAGTAAAATAATTGTCTGTAAAATAAGCTTGTTAGTAAACTAATTGTTGTTAAACTGGTGTATTGGCAAAATGATTGTTGGTAAAATGATATATATTCACTATAAAATAGCAATTAATTTTGCTTGACTATACTGTTCAACTTTTCTATAATTACATCCTTTGAGATAAATATTTGTATGCTTATAAAAAGGTTTTTATTAATATGTACTTATAAAGAGGTTTTTTTAAAATACTTATATATAATTGGTTTCTAAATAAGTATGCTTATAAAGAGAGTTTTTTATATAATGTGCTTATAACAAGTGTGACTATAGAGAGGTTTAACTGTACTTATTTCTTTATAACAAAGCCAAACAATACATTATTAAAAATTTAATAAAATATTGAAGCTTTATTCTCTTAGACTATTAATAAAATACAATTTTGAATATAATGTACCAAAACCTCTATTTAGTATTTATAACAATAATAAATTTACAATTACTATAACTCTTAATATTCCTAAATCTAAATTTTTTAATAACTTCTAAATTTTATTGCTTAAACTACATATTAATAACTTTTAACACATAATATACAAACTTTTAAAGCTTATTAAAAACAATTTACAGATATAAATAAAAACAAAGTTAAAAACTATATTAAATACCAAATTGCAACTACACTTGCTAAAGAATGCAAAAAGCTTCTACTTTTGGATTTTCAAATTACAAAACCTACTTTTTTTCAAACCTGCTTTTTTTAACTACAAAAGCTGCACTATTTCATGTTTATATATATAAAAATAAAGATTGCAAACACTTATCTAAAGACACAGAACACAATTTTAAAAATATATCTACACACTTTTTTAATAATCTCTTTGAAAGCTTTTTTGCACTCTAAAAGAAAACACTATTTCTAAAATAATACTATTTACTTCTAAATACTTAATTTTCCTACTTGATCAATAATATATAGCAACTTTTACAAACCTATTCTACTACATATTCTAAATAAACTTGTACTTAAAGTAGACAAAAAATTTGCTAAAATTAATATTACAAAAACTAACCCAAAATGTACAGCTTATTATTTTTATTCCTACTTTAAAGCTTACTTAAATATTGCATCTACAAATAACAGTATTGCTGCTTTTGAACTAAACAAAGCTTTAGAAAAATTCATTATACTTACTATTAGTTCAAATATTCTAGTACAAATAATTATCTATTATTATATTTAAAGCTAACTAAAATTCTCTAATACACAAATTTAACTTAACTATGATCAATAATATCTTCTAAGAATAGTGATCCTAGTATAGTAACTAGGTTGTTATTCTTCAAATAGCAGGTCTAAAGTTTAAATTCTATCTATAATGAAATTTTAAATTAATCTGTTTTATAAAAAACTGTTTTCTGTTAATCAGTTAGATTTAGGTATCTGTAATCTTAAGTATAACCAATTAGGTTTTACTTATTATTAGAAGTTTAAGTTATTTATATAAAATATAACATTATATATATATAGAGGATTGTTAATAACTAGTATTGCATAAGACTTTGGTTAAACTCATGATAAGACCACTGAACACAAAAGATCAAAAAACCAAAAAGATGAAATTCAACTTAGAAATTTCTAAGTAAAGAGATAGCATAAACTTTTAACAATACTATTAGACTAATGAAAGCCTAGTAAATATTAATAAAAAATAAGCAAATATGCAACTGGATAACAAGATGTATAGAGGAGCATATGACTGGCAAGGCTGCCTAAACTGCTAAAGAAAAAGGATACTAAGATATACTATACTAGGTATCTAAATTGAAAATTTAGAAAGTCTGTCAGATTTTGAGTTAGATAGTAAAAAAAATGAAGAAAAGAAGTTGAAAAAATAGGTATCTAGATTTGAATAAACTTTCAAGAATAGAATAGCATAATATAGCAATTAAAGATTAGCTCTAACTGCAAATATTAAATAACTATAGTGTATTATATAAAACTAGATTAGCTATATGTAAGACATAAAA